GTTTTTAATTAGAGATAACCTTTATATACTCTACCAGTTAGTACAGAGACAGCAATCAATAGGTCTAGTTTTTAATTAGAGATAACCTTTATATACTCTACAAGTTACCACAGAGGTGGCGATCAATAGATCTAGTTTTTTATTAGAGATAACCTTTATATACTCTACAAGTTACCACAGAGGTGGCGATCAATAGATCTAGTTTGGATCACACAAATTTTGTAGAGGAAGAAATCTACAAGTTACTGTTAAAAGGGTGTGATTCAGAAGTGAATGATAAACCATCCTTAATAAATCCACTGACAGCTAGCAAGAACAGAATGGTAAAAATAGACTGATGTTGGATTGTAGGCATACTTATCTCAGTTTGTAAAAATTCAAGTACAAGGTTTCAGCAGTTTATAAAGATATTTTTAAGAAAGGCGATTCAGTTTTCGGTTTTGATTTAAAATCTTCATATAACTACATTAAATTTCATGAAGGGCACAGAATTTTTTAGGTTTGCTTGATCATTGTTTTCGGATAACAGCATAGGTGGAGGGAAAAGTTCACAGGGATTCAGTTTGCAGATTTAAAATGACATCAGGAAATTTGTTTTCAGTGGCAAAGGAGAAATGTCAGTGGACTCTTGGTAGTATCACTGCAATGGTTAGTTTTGTTACAGAACTTTAATGAAGCTAAAGTATATGTACTTGAGATGAAAATCAGAAAGGTTTTGCAGCTGCATAGAAGCATTACTTGCAGAATTTAAAGAGAAGCAAACTTACATATGTCAGGAAAATAATTTGCATTGCAGGTCAGGTAATATCTAGCCAGATGGCAGTTGGTGAAATTGCTATGCTAAAGAACTGGGAGATGTTGAAGCATGGAGCTTGAGACTGATGTCGTCTTTTCAATCATTAAAGAGGCTTCAGAACTAGGTTATGGCAGACATAGAGTAGAAAGTTCAAATCATAATCTGGTCAGATGGAAAAATAAGTTTTGTTAGGGAGGAACTGAAGGCATTAAAAGAATTCTCTGTACATACATGAGAGAATCGTCTAGAAGGACACAAGGTTCAATGGTTCACTGATAATGAAACCATTGTCTCTATGGTTCAGAAAGGCAGCACAGACTGAGCTGCAGGAGATGACAGTAATGATATTTATAATTTGTGTGAGAAGTGCAAGATTAGTATTCACCCAATCCGGATACCAATAGCACTAAATGAGACCTATTGAGTAGGTGCTCAGATAGTGATAAGCAGGTTGGGAATGATTTTTAATTGGTTGACTCTTATATGGGGTCCTTATTCTTGTGATATCTTTGCAAGCAATTATGATGCAAAATGAGAAGTATTTTATACTAGATGGTGATGCCCTAATACCTTGGGTATCAATGCATTTATGTACTCTTTGAGCAAAGGTCTGAATTTGTGGGTTCCACCACCAAGATTGTTGTGTAAAGTTTTAAGGAAGATTTTGGCAAAAGAAGTCTGTGGAGAGTTAGTAATGCCACAATGGAAATTTGCTCCATTTCTGCAAAGTTCATTGGGGTATATATATAAGAAGAATTTGTAAAAGATGTTAAAACTGTGTAAATATTCTGAGAATAGGCTGAGGTAATAATGAAATAATTTGAAAGAAAAAAAACAGATCCAAGATTGTATCCCTAAGGATATGTCTTTAGAACATTGTCTTTTCATTCATTTCAGACTTAGGGCTAAGACAAGCTCTGTCGGTGGTAGTGAATAACACTGGTGATTTACCAGTTTCTGTTGAAATGCATTCCTTGACTCATAGTATAGCTAGCCAACAAACGAAGTGAGAACACAGTGTTTTAGTACTACAGTCTCTTCAAACAATGGGAACATTTCATTCATCCCAAGGCCATCAAGTATTCTGCTATAAAAATCCAGCCAAATCATGTGGATTTGACCTATATAATGGACAACTGGTTTTTCTTATGCTTCAATTCCACTCAGCTGTTCATAGTATCAAATGGGCTCATAAGCTAAGAAATTTTTCAGATCCCACCAAAAATTTTCATGTGACAAATTTAATGGAATTGATTTAAAGACATAACAGGTCCAGTTGTAAGGGATGATATGTTTTCTTTGGAGATCATAAGACTATGTGGAAATGATGAACAATCTGCTAATATAGTGTTAGGTTCCATTGTTATTATTGTTTTATGTTTTGCTGGTTTTCAAAGGTCTAATTACAATATTGTTTTTCATGAAAATTATGTCATTTTTTTGTGAAGGTGTAAGACTGATCAGTACAGACAGGAAATAAGATAGTGATTTCAACAGGCATCAGGTTCCTCAGTGACTTGTCTGAAAAAATTCTAACTACATGTAAGTATTTATAGAGGTGGCAAAGTTTGTTTAGATTCTAGTGAGTTTTTATCTAAATCTAATTTTGTCAACAGGACTTTGTTCACTGATAAATCAAAATAAGCAAATTGGTTATACCTGTACTAGGGAGACAGTAATTCTGAGATTAAAGGAAGTTTGTGTCAATGTAAATATGCGGGCAGGGGAGCATCTATGGCTGCTGATGTTTCTATGAAGGACAGACGTTGGGAAAAATGTGACAGATGAAATACCGACAAAACAAAAGATGATTGCCCACGGTACATACAAGACTCCTTGGAGAACAAGTTTAGCGTTACAAATACGCAGCGTTTATGTCTTTAGAGAAGAGACATTTCTTGGACAGCATCACGAGCAGTCAGTTTTAAAGATATTTGATATGATTTAAGATATACTACAAAATCATTTTCAATCATATCCTACACTGAATACATTTCTGTAATTAGCTGAAATACTGAACCATAAAGTTTTCTGAGCATTTAGCTCATACAGGTTATCTCTGGTGTTAATCTGGGGCTTTAATTGTGCATCACTCAACAATACAAAGGTAGCTGTAGACCATGTATATTATGTTGTGTAACATTTCTAAAAACCCAAAAAATTTAATAAATGCCGACTACAAATCCAGCATGCTTAACACATTTCATGTTTGAGTTTTGTTTTGTGGAGAAATTGTAGCGTAGGAAATAGTTTAGACCTAGTGCTTCACATCAATTATCAAAATTAAAATGGAATTGAAATATTTGTACATTTCCCACTATCAGTGATATTTGAGACTGGGACATTGGAGTGCTGGCCTCGTGCATTTCCTTTGGGACCCATCAAACAAAATTTTTATAGGTGTTAGCATTCGGACTGATCAGAAGTGTGTTTTGGACTCGAGAGAAAAAATCCTTCTAACTAACTGCAGTCCATGAAAATAATAATATTGTAAATGTTGCAAATGATATCAGAGTTGTAAATCTGTATAATAAACACATGCTTTATACAGGTCTTCACATCATCAGATGATTCAGTCTAGAACTCACACAAAAGATATATAACAATAAACAACCCAAATTACAATTTTTATATCTGAGAGCAATTTGAGACACAGGTGTTAACTAAAACTTGTCTGTCCTGTCTTTAATGTGTTTACACAAGATTTCATTTTTTGAATCATCCTTTTGATATACAAGTATTTTATGTGTTTATAAATTGTACAACAAACATGTGATAAATCACTGATAATGAGCACAATTTTAGTAAATAAAACTGAGTTCCTGTTGAACACAAATGTAAGAGACATCATGCATATAGGTAAATAATCCCAATCTCTAGGCAAATGTAATAACTAATAAGTTTATGGTCCTAGATCTGTATGTTATTATAGAAGCCTTCCTAATTCTGATAACCTAGACTGATGTTAAAAGTCTCTGGTGTTGACAAATAAAGAAGCAGAGAGACATTCTTCCGTGATGATCTGTGTTATAAGTGTGTATTTCTATTATCATAAGCCTATCTTTATATGCTTGTTGCTATTATTATATCTATGAATGGGTATTTCGGATTATTACTGATTTATTTCTCTATGCCTTAAGCAAAATTCTTGTCAAAACAGCAGTGGAGAATGATCTGGTCAAGCTTCTTACACAGATACATGTTATATTGATGTACACCATATATGTACAACATTTCTAATTACACACATCAAAGGGATGATACATACATGGTCTCCTATCAAATGAGCAGAACAGTGTTATTTACTCACACTCAACAGCATCATTGACCAATAAAACTGGTTTGGTACAGTTCCACTGATTTTTGAGATGCATTATCATAGAGTATGTTGATACAACTGCATATACATTAATACTACAAAGCAGTTTGCCAAGGCTGATCAATCATTTCACTACTAAACTTGTTAACCTGATTGAGATCAAACTTTATTAAAAAAAACATATATCAGGGTATTTTCTTTATATAAATTGGTCTTCTGCTGAGAATCAAAAACATGCTATAGAACCATATCGTCTCCTTTTTGGTTAATTACCTCTTTCAATAATGATAATGGCAGTGAATTTTGGGACTCAAATATTTGAGTCACTTGAGTCTGGACCCATGCTTTTTCTGTGGGATTCCACAATACATCTTTGTGACTGTGATCATCAAAATTTTGATATTGGTTCGTTGTTACAGTTATGAATTGGTATATTCACAAAAATAAGTGAATGACATGTGCATTTGCCCGTTGGCATCTCTTATCAGCTAATTAAGGCGATGATTCATTTCAGGTGAATATAAAGCATATAACATAGATATGAAACTACATCAGACTTATTTACAAGTGATGCCTATCGAGTAACGTTAACCTCCAAATCAATCTAGGAACCAGAGTATGATTTATTTATAAGAACAGCGATGAATAAATACAAATATTATCAATACAGAAATGCTATAAAACAATGGACAACCCGAATATATCGATACAAGGCTTATAGATCCAACTGTCAGTAAGCGTACGTACATATAATATCCTACACATATTATGAACTAGACCCTATGAAGTGACCCAACCGCAGACACAGAGGCTAACACTGAGTCAGTCGAGTAACCGGTTATGGAAATCTACTTTGTGCATTGATGTCATGCAATGTCGACCTACCTTCGTGAAGAACATTGATATTTTGTCCCTTGCCATTTAGTTTTCCCAGTTCCATTCTAGATTAGCTTAATTTCCAAAGTTACTCTACAGACTTTGTAATCCCATGTCTCTGTCATTTTCGCTCCAAAACACGACTGGAGGTAAATCGAAGTTTTTTATCTTCTGGATTGAAGAGTTCCAACACGAAAAAAATGCGGGAAAATTTGATCAGCTAGTCGGCTACTCAAGGGCCTGTTCCCATTTGATAACTTCGTGGGAGATCAAGGGAAAATGTTCATATATTGAGGGGAAATGCAAATCAATTACAGTTCATTTTATAAGTATATTAAATTATCTGACCCATTCCTATATTTACAAATAAACTGGGATAATGTGAGTTTGTAAGTTGTGGGTTCCATTGATTTATTTATTAATGATGGTTATATAGTTGTTGACAACTTGGATATTAAGGTAAAGTTTGTTCATATTCAGCAATATCCAGTAGATTGGGCGTTGGAGGTAGCCCTGGGATCTTTGTCTTTTTTTCTCTTTCACAAAGACGCCTTTATTCTCAATGTCTCTTTTGACACCATACTACAATTTTGGCCTTTATGGATTAAACGTACGCCCAAGTGACAAAGGAAGCACGTGTGTTCTGTTTAACAATAATAACTATAGGATTCCTCCTTTCAGACTGTCACTAATTTATTCGTCTTTTCTACCTTCTACTCTTTACTGTTGGAATAACTTAGACAATTCGGTTCGAACCCAACCCACTATTAATTCATTCAAATCTTGTTTAGCGTCAAGTACTCAGTCAAGTCCACCAATTTACTATAAAATTGGAAATTACAAACTTAATATATTACATACTAAGCTCCGACACCAGTGAAGTTCCCTTAATTATGACCTTTTTAGAGTAAACCTCGTTGAGAATACATCTTGTGAATGTGATCATCCTTGTGAGAATGTCTCACTATTTTATTGAATGTCAACGTTTTTCGAACGAAAGACATATTTTAGTTCAAAATTTAAATATTGGAACGTTGCATTAGATATAGAAATTCTTTTGTTTGGCAATTCTCAATTTTCCGTGGACCTTAATGCAAACAATTTTAAATCTGTGCAAAACTTTATCAAACCCAGAAAAAAATGTTGATGCCAATGTGTAACAATAATTGTATATTTGTATTGTTATTATTGTAACGTAATTTAAAATGTATATTGGGAGAAGGCGTTGATAAGTTGCAATAACTTGTGCCTAATCCTTTGTCTATCTTTTGGCAATAAAAATGTTCAAACTAGCGTGATATGTTTTGTATTACATCAATTTTTTTGGTTAAAAATAAATAAATTAGGATACAGGCTAAAAAGCGCTGATATACAAGTCTTGTGTATGTCTTGGGTTCAAATTGTTGTCGTTCATGCAGAGTCAGTAGAATGAAACTGCTGATCACCTGTACAAACATTCTCGATTTTCAAGGAGTTATTTTCAGTGTCAGTTTCTGCTACCCTGGGGTATTTCATGACAAAAATGAGCGTTCCATGTGCGACACCTTGTTGACAAGACGAGCGGACTGTTTTGTTCCTTTGATGTGTGTTTAACCAAATTCGAGGTCTCAAAACGGTATGTTGTACTTTATAATCTTTAAAGGAACTTAATCAGGTTGGTCAGGGTTTTTTCTCTCCTGAAACCCGCTCTAGACCAATCAGATCACTTCTCTTGTGCCTTCTGTTTTGCCATGAAGTGTTCCAGGAGTGCGGAGAGCGATAGTGAGCGTAACCCCTGGAGTATCGAGGATGCTGTCCAAACCATACTGATGATCACGGTGTACTCTCAGAAACACATTCTGACGAGTAACCTGTACAGATTTTGAAGAATTCTTCAAATAAATGTTGTGGAGGTGTTGCCAGATTTTTTCTGAAAGTTTGGACTATGATATCGAATTCAGTAATGATAGGTAGGGCCTCAAGTATTTATAAAATATTTGACGATATACGACTTTGGCAATATTGCTGCATGTTAAACGTGTATTTATAGTATCGGTAAATATGTAACAGTATAAAAAGATTTATCAAAACTGATAAAGGACAACTTATGGATTCTTCTCCACAATGTTAACTTGGTCGTGCATATGCTACATAATTCTTTCCTGACAATCACTTGACCACATAACCTGCATTCGTCACCAATTGCGAATTTTGACACTTTCTCCTCCCCATGTACCAGAAAGCAGAGGCAGTGCCTCAGATATCAAACGAGTTGTTGATAATAGCACGAATAACTGTATCAGAAATATCTTCCTTTACAATTCTCTACCAGGCTGTGTAAGACACGGACCACATTATCTTCAAAGATGTACATCACCCCTAATATATATTCTAATTAGTGTTACCGACTTCCAAAATTAAATTTTCTTGCCCGACTCCAACTGGCATGTAAACAGATCCTCACGTGTGTCGATTCGGCTGGAATGGCGTTAAATACAAGTTCGTCAAATTCCTTTATTGATTGACTTCTCCAATTTCCAATTTTCGATTGCTTATGTATTTACACAACATTTGCTTATAACATCCGATTCGCCATTGTTGTAGAAACATTGTCTGAAGTGTGTTACAATGAGTATGTCATGGACCTACAACACTTTTATACTCTTCTGAATATTCTTCTCTGTTTTGGTATGATGTTATTTAGTTTTAGCTCTAATTTATAAGTTTTGATACTATTACTGTGTTGAAGTCGCTGCGGTCTTTTAAGTCGATTTTATTACAATGATTGAATTTCTTTTTCGTTTATTACGTTATTTCCCTGGATTTCTGTGTTATTTGGTTACTTTCCTTCTTGTTTAGAAGAATGGTAAGATTGAAGGTCTTCTCTAACGATTATCATTAAATCACTTCTTCATGTTTCAGGCGTAACGTACTCCGCCATAGCAGAGCCTGAACAATACAAATATGGCTGTTACGGTACCCAAAACGGAAACGTTTACATGGACGCTCAGTGTTCATCAGATGAAAGAATCGTAGTCAGAGATGTTTCTGCAGGAGCAAAGCTAAACGCGACAGGTTGTGAGAGGTTTACATCGTTTGTGGAGGAGGAGGAATTGTGCTGCACACCTGCAGATACGGACTGTACTTTTGACTATTCTGTAACAGGGGGATTTGACGCTAATTATAAATACCAGATTAACTGTACGGGAAAAAGCGAATGTGACAAGATTCGAGTGGATACCATGGAAACGCCTGATTCGTGCTCATCCGGGTTCTTGGATACTAGTAACTACCTGTATATGTATTACTACTGTATCCCAGGTAAGTTTGACTGAACGTTACTCAGCACAAGCAATGCCATATTTCCTTCGATCATTTGGTAGGATCACCATTAAGAACTTCACCATTGTCTATCTGTACGATACTATTAATATAGTCCCTAACCACAACCTCATCGTGTGTGAATTACTAGGCACTGTCATTCCTTGGAGACGATCACCAGGATTCCGTGTACCATTTTATATTATTGAGATAAGAATATCCCCTACAAGACACCAAATATCGTGTTTCAAGTCTGTTCAGAAGACACACATTTAGATCATCCGTTTGGGATTCGCCATAATGCTAAGGACCTGAATTGTTGAAGCCTACGGAGCGACTGAGTAAAATCCAAACTGGTCGAATAAATGTCAAACACACGATGGAGAGGTGTATTCCAAAGTCCAAATGATTTGTTTTCAATAAATGTGATCAAGAAACAACTAATATATATAAATAAGTGTGAAGTACCTTTCGATAGAGATTTAGAACCGGGTGCACAGTAACGCCAAAATGTGAGTTAACTTACTGCATCATTCTAGGCATACAGTTATTTCAGCCTTCTAGACCTCGTCAATAATGCTAAATACCTAGATCTTGATACCTAAAGGGGACCGAGGGAAATGAAAAACTTACCGCAAGAAATAATAAAATATAGATGGGGATGTGCACTAGCCTCGTAATTAAAAACAAAATCTTAATTTTCATTTATAAGATATTTCCAAACGAATATTAATCAGTATTATTATGCTATGAAAGGTTCGCAGAAATTGATTAAAAAAATTATGTGATCGAAGAGCTACAATATCGTAGAACTCTACTATTCTCTAGTGACGATTTGAAATTACCTGGCTATATTTGTAAGAATTATGCATAAAATACTGTAAGAGTATAAAACTAGATGTTTTAAATATATTGCAATCCCAGTCGAAATTGAATTGAAATATTTGTATAGAAAATGTCATGAATACATTTTTATGAGCATTGCTGTCAATAGGAAGCTATCAATTTTAGCCTGTATCAAATTATTCTTGAGAATTGCCAACATTTTTTTAAACTTGTTGGTGTCACAACTTTCATCCCCTTTGGGACCACTACTGACAAACTTGTCAACACGGAGTTCTGATAATATGTTTTACAATGACCGATATACCAAAATCACGTGACGTGTTTCTGTGTGGAATTAATCTCGTTGTAGCATTATATGATAAAATTAAAAACCTGCACACGAGAGGACCACTTAATGGCCCAATTCATGGCACTCACATTAGGGTTAACAGACCAATTTTCGTCTCTCCACTTCGAGATAATAAAACGTGACTGACTGCAATGACCATTCTTGCGATAAGGTAAAGCAGTTGTGTTGTTTGATGACAAAGAGTTATCATTCTTGCTGAAGAGCTCACGAAGAATGCTCATTATCAAATGTTGCTCACTGTTTAAAACCGAGGCAACGCATTTTAGTACACTAACTTACATTTACATTTTTACCTTCCCTTCTGGTTCCTGTTCATCATCAAATCCCAATGGTTTTGATTTCAATATTGCAGTTGTGTGTAGCTCCATTGCAAAGGAATGGGTTCGTCAGATCGGCCAGTCAGTTAGCTTGGAACCAAACGCAATGATTGCATAGTATGAATATCCGATTTTGTTATGAAATATTTCAACAGTGGTGATAAACGAGACATAAAAACTAATATGACGTGGTCCTTTAAAATAGATTTAAAACGAGATGAAATGCAATATATGAAAAAATGTAGTTTGATTACAAAAACCTATGAACAAAACTTCAGAAATCACGATGTCCTTTAGATAACAGTAGTATTAACCGCATTACGAAGGGATACATTTGAGTGATCTTTGAAGAGTGGATCTCTGTAGGGAAAGTGCCTTATTTTCAATGTATCTCCGTTCTGAATATAAAACAAACTCGATGAATAGCATGTCCCAAATGCACTACATTTAATTGCATTTGATGTTTTCATCTCTATTTCTCCAGTTTCCGACATTGGAAGCACAGACTCGGCCATCCTCCAAGGCACCACCGACCCATCATACTTATACTTGTGGAGTCCAAATTTCCCCAATCCTATCAGCTCTACAGTAACATCAACGTCGTGCTCGATAGAGACTGCGTGCGACTCTCAGATAACTGTTTCAGTACTGGACCTCCGTCTACAGAGTGACTCTACCGGAACGTGCCGACAAAACTTAACCATCCATGATAACTCGTCAGTCATCGTCTTAGACTGTTCCGATAACAATCTTTTCATCATTCGGGACATTTTTACCAGCCAGTCTAACTATTTGGAGATGACATTCTCAAACAACCTAGGGGCTACGAATGGTTACTTTTGGATCGGGTTCTCGTGTAAGTTTCAGCAGTCGCACCTTTATTGTATTATTATTTTTTTTGGAGGAGTTGTGGGGTGGGGTGGGGTGGTTGACAATGTTGTCGGGAATAAAGGTACGTTTGGTAATGTTTATTGGCTTTTTGAAAATGCGTTACTTTGTAGTTTTTGAGTGTGTTTTTATTTTTTCTAATGTCGACCAGGACTTTTTGATTTTGATTCGTTTTTTGGGGATTTTGTCCACTGAATGGCCATAACTTTGAACAAATAAATTGGCCATAACCAAATAAGAAATTACCTGCATATCACTGTTAAATAACTTCATATCAATTTACAGTTCAGTGTCAGCGAAAAAGGAAATAATGTTTTATGACAGAATGGTGGCTAAAAATAACACTAACCCCTCCCCCTCTCACACACATATGAAATGGCGGGATATGAATTAAAAACGCTTACAAAGTAATAGATGATATATTTCTGTCTTTAAAGCGGACACGTGCGGATCACTGAAGATATCGTGTCCAGCGGTTGTCCCTGGTTATGACTGTGTGGCCAATGCAACAGCTGGATCTTCTTGTGTAACCACCACTCTTAGCACGACCACAGCTGAGAGTACCACCTCTACCACACTTACCACGACAACTAACATACCTACCACCACAACCACAGCTGACAGTACCACCTCGACCACACTTACCACGACAACTAACATACCTACCACCACAGCTGACAGTACCACCTCGACCACACTTACCACGACAACTAACATACCTACCACCACAACCACAGCTGACAGTACCATCTCGACCACACTTACCACGACAACTAACATACCTACCACCACAACCACAGCTGATACTACCACTAGCCTTGTCACTACCACTGACGAACCTACCACGACTACTGACGTACCAACTACTACTACAACTATTGCTGATACTACCACTACCACTGACGAACCTACTATCACCACTGACGTGTCTAGCTCCACCACAGCTGACACAACCACTAAACTTACCACGCCATCTGAGGAGTCTACCATCACAACCCACACCACGACCACTGAGATTCATACCACCACAGCAATTATCACGATAACTGACGTACCCTCTACCTCCACAGCAATAGCTGACACCACAACCTACACCACACTTCATACGACAACTGAGATGCCCAACACATTCACCTCCACCTTAGCTACTACCACGACATCTGACAATCCTACTACCGTTACAGCTGTAGCAGAAACTACTCCTAAATTTACTACGTCCACTGCTGAAACCACCGCCGCCGCCACCACCACACCTGGTACCACAGAAGCACCGACCATCATTCCCACCACTGTCAAGTCTACGATATTAGGCTCGTCTCAACAGGTACCAATAGGCAGCGAACCAGCATCAGCCTCTTGTAAGTTTATTTAAAGGTGTTTCATTGTCCGAACTGAAAATTCTAATACATGCTGTGTATGGCATCATTATTGCACTTGGAGAAAGAGAAAATATTTCAAAATCATTTTAAAAGCTATTTTTCCCCGTATCAGAAAGAAGGGCTTATAACACATACCAACCACTAGTATTCCGACCATATATGGACTTTTCCAAGAAAGTTTGAAGCTCATGGTTTGGAAGAATATTATTTTCGTCAATATACGCTCGATAACAAAAAATGTCTTTAGAAATACTTCGAAATCGACCAGTTTTCTTTATTTGTCAAATTCTTCATTTCCATAATGCTCATGGCTAAACTGACTACTTAAAATATTTTTCTGTCCCAATTTTCAGTTCCTTGGTGGTTCATTTTAATCGCAATCCTGATTATAGCCGTTGCGGGTATCATTGTACTAGTGCGCTGGAAGAAACGGAAGGTAGGCACATTTAGCTCACGGTTGAAGTAATGATTGTACATTAGAGCGAAAGGGAAAACGGTATCAATCACGATAAAACAGAAAATAACTGTATAAAATATCTCGAATGCACTTGATGAAGAAATGCTGACGATTTAAACAGAAAGTTATGTCGGTAGATAAAAACTTGCATTATTGTAACATGTATTGTTATTTAACAACCATTTCTACAATCTTCGTATTTCTGATTGATCTTTATTAAACTACTAAGACATTTTGTTTAAGGTAAAGCCAAATGACGATGAAAAGAACGGCATACCTCCTACAAATGAGAAAAACACACGAAGTTCATCCAAAGGTTTAAATGACCGTCTCTCGGATAAGGAATCCAACCATAAACAACCCCTGGAAAAACCTTTTACTCCAAATAACATCGGTTCCAAAGGGTTGGACGCTTATGGGGGGAAGCACCCACCTCTCAATCCACATGCGAATCTTAAAGATGGCGTTGTTCCAAATATGGTACCAGTACCAATACAGGTTCCAGTGGATTCGAACAAAGGACCAGCTAAACTACCACCCCTTGACGCCCAGCCTATCAGGGCTGTTGATGGTGCATCAAACACAACAGAGAAGCGCAAGAAGAAACGGAAAAAGAAGAAACATAAAGAAAACTTCGAAAGGGTCGAAGGCACTTCAGAAACATCTGAAAAAAGACAAGAAAATAATTCAAGTTTAGGTGATGATTCCACTAAAGATGAAGACGTTGATGCAAACAAAAGCAAGAAACCTAATGGTCACACTTCAGAAATAATTCCATGTGATTTTTCTGCTGAACATACAGCTATCGGTTCAAATGATGGCGCTGCAGAAGAACTTACTAAAAACACTTCAGACGGTCATGCTTTAGAAGATATTGGAAATATTTCTTCGAGTCACCATTCAACAGCCGAAATGAGAAATAATTGTACAAATGACAAAGCTTCAGACGAACTTGGAAATAACTCGCCAAATAATCGTACTGTGGATCTTGCAAATAACACAAGTAATCTCAATTCAAAAGCAACATCGCTATCATCAAATAGACCCACCGCTTATGAACATTCAAATAACTCGTCGACACATCAGCTTTCAGGCAGCAAGTCTGGTCTAAGCGGCGATTGTAAGAAGTTGGAATCTAGCAATTCCAGTCGCACTGAGGCGTTCTCAATGGGTAAGGAGAAAAGTACTGTCAACGGATGGAACAGAGGACCGATTGGTCCGGCACTGAAAGATATAAAATCTACAATCCCAGGGTTCCAAAGGCAGGGGAGGCGAAAATCAAGCGTGGATCAACACATGTTGTCTTTTTTGACGTCTGCGAGAACCATGAAGGCAGGTGTTAGTGGTCCATCGCATCATTCTGGTGAACGTCGAAAATCCTTGATTAATGAGGATATGGACGACACAGTAGGAAGTAGACCAGAGCGTCGGTCATCCGTGGTTAGAATCAAGGGATCCGATAACTACAATGCTCCTCGGCGTGGTTCGTTGAATCATATTGGTATCGGTGATACTGGGAAACTCAACAAAGACAGAAAGGTTTCTGTGTCAATAGGCGACCCCGCTCCGGACACTGGGATATCGTCTACGTCGGCAGTTGGACACTTGAGGTACACCAAGCCGGTGATCAATATATGATGAACACTACTCGCCACTCTTATATACATGTACCTTCATGAAAAATATATTTATTTCTTATATATCACTAACTGATTTTGCATCGGTAATGCGTCTTGTGTTATCTCTTGTATAATAATTAGTCAAATAACGTACACTAGCGCTAGCCATTGGCACTGATACCTTTCACAGATTATCATATGTAATTATGTCTCTCAGGAAGCTGAGAAACGAAACGGCCTGTTTTGATGCGATTATGGCCATAAGCACTGTGAGACAGTGTTCACTCGTATTTGTGGTCGTGTTTTTATGAATCGTTGATCTGGCTACCTAATTCTGATATGGTAATGAATTACTTCAAACCACAAGAAAAATATTATTATATCCAATGCATAATTATTATAGAATTTGTAATTACCCGTTACATGAGATCATTGTCAGGATACCGACCGAAGTTTCACGATCATGACATCACATTTGTAGCATTTCAACCATACACATTTTCAATACTGCTCTTTAACATAATCTCTAAAGGCAGGACTGGTTAATATAAAATCACCTCAGCTTGCAAAGACAGTCTCGTCAAATTCACTGTTACGAAAACACAAATGTTTATATGTAACAAAAAGAACCAGAATTTACTAGCCTTTTATGTACATATTTCTATTTTATCATGGTACGTAGAAAAAAGCTATTTGTTTCACAGTATGTACTATATATCTAAAACGCAGATCAGATTTGTCTGACGGGATAACATGGATTTTCATTCCCCATTTGTCCTCACCTCTCTCATTCAATATTGCTATAGTATCAATGATAAGTAGTATAATATGTGTGTAATTTAAATACGATGGATGTAAAACAGATATTGTATATACGTTGTAATATTGTTTCTGAATTTGTAAATAGCATACAGACATATTATCTAAAATAAACATTGTTTGAATCAGAAATATGCGGGCACTGCGTTACATAAGTACTACATTATATAAAACACAATTAATCAATAAATAGACAGTAAACATTATTCGGTCTTTGTTTGTCTTTAAATGTTGACTTATTGTGAAGTTGGTATCACATATACTGCAATTGTAATCATTATTTTATAAACAAACATCGCTTGACGTCGGAAATGTTATCGGAGGGAACGCAGCGTTTATTTACTGGCGACGACTGTAAAATCTCTGCAGAAAACAAACATTCTTTGATATTTTAGATATTCGAATTATTTGACTAAACTCATGCATAACGATTTGTTTGTTGTTAAATGCAATGTGTAATCACGTGTCATATTTATCCGTGTCACTCACTTTCAAACAGCACCTGAGATGTCGTACCTATATACCTTTGTTTCTGTTCTGGTCGTAATCATTGAGAGACTCACAATATAAAAACGAAATATTTATGTATTCAGGATACTGAAGACTATGCCAGAAAGGAGATAACAATAAAATCATGTTGAAAGGTGGATTTTATCCTTTAATTCTCTCACTCTAAAAAAATCAATGTATTTATTGACCACGTGGTTTACTCCCATTGGACAGCCGTCAAATAAAGTCAATAAAATAAATTTCCATTTACAGTGGTACATGCAGTACATGCAGTGGTACATGCAGTGGTACATGCAGTACATGCAGTGGTACATGCAGTGGTACATGCAGTACATGCAGTGGTACATGCAGTGGTACATTCAGTATAAAAATGAAAAGATTCAGTTAGTACATAGATATATCAAATTCCGTGGATTCAGGAACAAGTACATTTTATATTCGAGATTAACAATTTAAATGACATATGTCAAATACAACATTGATTTCGACATGTTCAATGATCGGTAGAATTCAAAAACACTTCGCCATTTAGTTGTTCAGAATATTCCTGTTGTCTATTTTAAAAACTTCACATCATTTTCACCGGATTTTACCGGAAATTTTCTGGTGAGTGTCGTCGATCAAAACAGTAAAAAAGGTTGAAGTTCCGGAAAACCGAAGATGTCTTTTTTGTATTTTTCTAAGTGGTTAAAGTTCAAATCAAGTGTTATCAATAATTGTTTTCACATGAAAACAGGCCTATGATTATATATTATTGTTGGCAGTTCAGTCTGTCAAGGCTAATGTAGGAAGGGAGACAACTCATGTTGGAATTATTATAGGATTTATCGAAATTCTGACCTGTTAATAAAAACCAATATACTACAATCTAAAACACTTAAGGCAGTAGTAGAACATACAATACTTATTAGACTAAATGCGTCAACAGAAGTATATAACTGGAAATATAGTCAAGTAAGTTTAAAAAAACAACTTTAACTTGATATTGTTTTTTGGTGTCTTTGCAATACTTTTGGATAATCCAAGTGGCAAAATACATGTATATAATAGTTATATATAGAAAATTCACAGTACGGTGCTGTTTTGTGTATTGTAATTTTATCTTTTAAAATCTATTTTTAAAAAACCTACACAAATTTTAAAAACCACAACATTTACATCGGTGTGCAAATTTAATAACGGACACATCCATGATCTGAAACATATTAAAATGTTTAAAAGATTAAAAGTTTAAGATTCACATGAATATCTTAGATATCGATAAAACAATAGTAATCCAAAAGATAAAGAAAGGGAGCATGAGACTGGTTGAAATTATTTTTTAGATACGTGTACATGATATCTAGGTCTGCGGGTGAGTTGATCACGTGGTATTTGTTTTATATACCTCTCTTCTTAAACTTCAACGCAGTTGATAAATCCATAGATGTGATAATGTGATATTTGAGGGAGTCCAAATTTGGTTTATTCAGAACAGCTTAAAATATAATTACGTTGTGTTTTTTTATCGAAGAAACGCATTTAATAGTGATGTATTCTCAAACGACCAACCACCTGTTGAATGGAAACCCCATGGGGAGCCCCTCGATAAGGCATCTTATCAGCGCCCTCTACTGGGAGGCAGATTAAAGGTCGAGGTCATCGATATGGCGGAAGTGGGACAGGACAACTTTAAAATTCTATCCTCGTTCAAATATTACGACATAGAATTACGAACGAGGACACGGTTAGATGAAGCTGGTAAGTAGACATGTGTTTATACACCGTCTCTCAGGTTTGTGTGGGAAATTCAAATAAAGAATGGTAGAAGAGATGTCAACGTTTTGTCGCCTCGTTTTCTGTCGAGTAAGTTCCATGCTCGGAAGATTTTCTGATGTGATTTCAAGACAATAGACTGTTTATTGGACACGGCATCACGACAGTTATGGAAATCCTACACTCAAAATACTGTTATATCATTGTGGAAATATGAATTTAAATGCAGCGTAATATAAAGATGTTGTGGTGAGTGACAATACCAATTTTCTACTTCAAATTTCTTTCTGGGTGAAGAACTTACGTTACAGCAGAATCAGTGTCTACTACATCTACTTTTTAGTTTCGAACACAATTTGCCATTGATTATTAATGTGGATATGGTGACAATTGTAGGACATGTGTATATTATAACTTCATTAACAAGTTATTTACAGGTTTTTGATCTGTTTTAACGTACACATTTTCATAATTGTGTGTAATTGTCTAAGAATTTGTTTCTCCATACGCGATGTTCAACTTTCAGTTTTAATACTGAACATGTTGTGCTTTGGAAAGGTTGCCAATTCCCTCAGTTTTGCAAAACTTCTGGTTAATTTACAGCTTAATGTAATCTCTGTGAACCTTTATTTTGTTCAAATGATTTTTTAAGATCCCTTTTGCGGTTATATTAATGATTAACTATCTCTATATATTACATTATATTTGTTTAAGTTGGGCAGAGTCCCATAGATATCACATTTGTACATTTGCCAAAGTTTGGTAGAATCCCATAAACATACAAATGTGGTTTTGGGCCCAAGCCATATTTCAAACAGGTAATCAAGGAATAGCTGTAACATTCTCTGTTTACTGAAGCAGGCATTGGTCATTAGTACAGCTGATCATGGAATGATAGGTTTTTGAAATCCAGAGGATGACATGTTAGGAATATTAATGACTGACATTAAACCTTGACTTATTTACATAATGTGGGTATTGGTGAAAATCATCCTTAAATACAAGTCAAAATTTACATCAAAACACTCTTAAACACTCTCATGGTCAAGCCCCATGATAATGTGTGTCAGCTGAACTGTTTATAAGGTATTAGATGCTTAGAATGAGTAGAAATTTTATGTATTTTTACTTAATTTTCATGTTCCTTTTGTGGAGAGGAATGTATCAGAGACAAGCTTATTTTCCAATCATATTTTCATAGTCTTTATTTGTATTAAGGAGACTCGTCTCTTTTTACAATTTACTGGTAGATTTTTTAAGCTTTTACATAATGATTATGCTACCATGTGAATAGATTTTCTGAAAATATAAGCATTCCAATGTGTTGTTAAATTTTCAAATTGAAAAAAGAAATAAATATCTAAACACAAATATTTCAATTATGGAAAAAGCCCAATATTCACAAAGTGGGTTATATTTATATTTAATGGAAAATTTTGAGTGGGTAGTATTATATAAAAGATACACTATGCATGTATAAACAGCCATAATAAATACATTTTTCAACACTTTTATAACAGTATAATGATATATCCATATTCAATTATATGGACAGTCAAAAGTTCATTTTTTTAAACATAGACTCAATGTACCACACCCACCTCGTTTCAAACAGGTAATCAAGGAATAGCTTGTGTTGTCCTGTGTAATAATATACACTGTTATAACTACTTGCTTCTACTGCAGACAGATTATTCCATGACTTAATAATGTCCCATTTTCCAGTCTTTGAATCCAGTAGCTGTACTGTCAACCAATTCCATCTTACTCTCATCGCTGCAGTCACTACTTGAGCCGAACAATGTGTCAATATCTTTGCCATCAAATGTGTTTTTTTTGGCTTGAACTATAGATGGTCATGACAGCTATTACTTTCATTACAGTCGCTTTCAAATGGCATAAACCAGCTTCTCTTTTCACCATTTTTGACATTGCTATGTATTGTTCATCCTTGAATATACAGAAGATTTCTCTTTTGTGCAACAGAAATTTACGCCTCTTGCAAATGCTTTATACACCAATATGAAGTTACATCACAATACAGGAAACAGTACTTGTGAAGTATGAAGAGTCGGGTCTCCTTAAATTATTTGTGTATTGTTTTGAAATCAAATGTTTGTAAAAATGATTAATGAAATTGTCATTTACCAGCTGATATCATATTGGCACAATTGTTTGGCCTCCGTCATTCAGGTTATTGTTTGAAGCCAATGAAATCAACTACATAATAATGCTATATTCTGAATTTCTTATGTTCATCAAGAAACAAAAACCATCTTTGATGTATATATAGTTCTTACATTTTGAAAACAAAATCACATTAAATACATGTAAAAATATTCTATTTGTAGGTAATTACTTCCAAAATCTGTTGGTCTAATCGATACCAGTATGGGATGTATGTATTCCAGTGCAGATAGATCGGACAGAAGTTCCAGAACCTTCCGTGTCTACAATGTTGATGAAAATGGAGATGAGTTGAATTCTGGAAAAATCGAAGTAACAGATGTAGATTTGATTCTGCATCAGAAAGGAAAAGATCCCATTCATTGGCCATTACGTTGTCTGAGGCGATATGGATGTGACCAGGAGTTGTTTTCCTTCGAAAGTGGCAGACGTTGCCCAACCGGTCCTGGAATTTATGCATTCAAATGCCGCAGGGCAGAGTCCCTTTTTGCTGCTGTCCAGGAGTGCATACAGAGAGCAGGACAGCAAGATGAGCTTGGGGCAAACCAGGCATTTGACCATAACATTCACAACAGTCGACCATCCTCTGTTATAGAAATGCAGCAAGTGAATGGATTTGTTGTACAGCCTGGAAGTTTACAAACAAATGCCTTGACAAGAGACATCAACTACATTAATGTTGACACAAATGTTGATGCTGATCATCAATATGTCAATGTCAACACAGGTGGCGCTAATGGCTCTAGACCTCGTAGTTTACCTAACGGTGGAATGGACAGTGTTAATGCTGAGTCAGTACTCATAGATTTCTTACATAATCCTAAACTTCAGCAAGATAGCGACTACAACAGAAATTCAGCAGGTTTACAGTATATCAGACTAGACCTGCCGGAAAGCGCAGAAGATGAATGCGAGGAAGCCAGTGTCATTGCTAGTCAGAATGCCAACCACGTAAGAACACACTCAGAACCAGATGTGGATGGGGGCGATGATCATGGTCTGCCAAACATTGAGTTAGACGAGACGATAAACTGTGATGTATTTGATGATTCTCCCTATGATGCCTCCAATCAGCGTGATTATATGAATGTAGCAGCAGATGGAATTAGAATGAGTAATGGAAATCCAGTCCAACTGCGTCAGCCAAAAAATGCTGATCACAACTACTTGAACATCTCACATCCAATTTCCGCATCAAACAGCAGCAATGTGCCATCTAGTGCCCCACCCCCACAGGGACCTGGCCGTCTCAACTATATAGAAGTGGCGAATCTGACAAATGGTACAGGCACGACCACACCCACCTCCCCTGTATCTTACAATTCTTATCCTGCAGAGTCACCCAGCAAAAGGACGGACAGTTACACTGTCATTGACTTTGCTAAAACTCAGGCGCTGTCCAACTCGTCACGTGTCATGAGTGATGCTGCTGGGGAAGGGATTCGTAAGACACGCCATAACAGTACAATCACCAGCTAGTGGAGTCAGCCTGTGTTAAAATATAGTATTATTTATGTATGTGTGTCATTTGTATATATTGGTATATAGTATGTCAGTGAAACTGTTACGTATGGTATATAAAGTACTGTATACAAACCATTTTGAATTGTAATTTATATACATCTGTGTTGTTGTGATAGATAGCTGGTACTATTAAAAAATTACCAATACACAGATATATGATGCTGATAAATTTGTGTTGTTTAAGATGTATGATTTTGAAGGAAAGCTTCAATTTTAAAGAAGATATAAACATTTATGTTACCCTGACAGATAGGGGATATGCTGAGATATATATATTTAATAATGAATGTGATGCACAATGGCAGTCCTGATTGTAGTTCAGTACATTTTGACAATTTCACAAATGGATACTTACAGGAAATACTGGTAAGTAATGTTAATTTATTAGAATGAAATAGAGGTTAATCTGATATTTTTCAGATGGCAAACTTTTGTATTTCGTATTCCAGATGACTGGTATAGCCTCTGATTGGTTGAGATAGTTACCTGGTTTTGGTATTCCAGATGACTGGTATAGCCTCTGATTGGTTGAGATAGTTACCTAGTTTTGGTATTCCAGATGACTGGTATAGCCTCTGATTGGTTGAGATAGTTACCTGGTTTTGGTATTCCAGATGACTGGTATAGCCTCTGATTGGTTGAGATAGTTACCTAGTTTTGGTATTCCAGATGACTGGTATAGCCTCTGATTGGTTGAGATAGTTACCTAGTTTTGGTATTCCAGATGACTGGTATAGCCTCTGATTGGTTGAGATAGTTACCTAGTATTTGTATTCCAGATGACTGGTATAGCCTCTGATTGGTTGAGATAGTTACCTGGTTTTGGTATTCCAGATGACTGGTATAGCCTCTGATTGGTTGAGATAGTAACCTGGATTTGGAGACTTATACAATATGAATTGAGTTCTGCAGACCCAACAATGTTGATATTTGTTGGATGATACAAGGATACCAGTAATAATTAAGGAGTGTTTTTGAGATGGCTGCCTTAGCCCCTGAATGAATGATTACTTGAGTTAAGTTCTGTGACATGTTGTCTTGATTATGCTTTGTGTTTGGCTATTGTGTGATATAATTAGGTACATTTGTAATACTCTGAACATTGACAACAACTTAACATGCCTTTATGTTTTTGCCATTACTATTAGTCATTTAATCACTGCACAGAGAATTATTTTCATTTTGTCTATCTCCCTGTGATTAATCCATCCGTTCCCCTGTAGTTTAACCCTATACATGTATGATTTATATATATTATAGTGAATGACAAGCATAGTTGTTGACGTAATTTCCTCATCAATCATTTTATCAGAGGAAAGGGTAGTTGCCTATGGAACTAAATAGCTATAGGTTTACAGGGATCAAAATGGTTGATGTAAACATTGATATGATGATTATGAATTGTGTACAAGAAAATCATTGGTAGATTGATGAAATAAAAAACAATGGTTGACAAAACTAGGCATGTGTTTCACATGAAAAGAATCTGTTCTAAATTTAGCACTGATTTCTATTAATGGCAATAAATTGAGATAGTTCACCATGATAAAAAATGGAATCCATGAACATTACACTGGAGGTGAAACACAGGAAATTTGCTGACACTAATACCAGACAAAAACTGGTTAAATATGTTCAGTATCCAAAATGTGTAAGGTACTTAAATTCAGACAATTTTTTGTGCACACACACACACACACACATATAAATATGCAAGTACAAATATATGTATATATCAAAGTATTGTTAATTAAAACTAAAAGTGGATAGTATGTAATAGTCAACACAGGCTACAAGCAGAGTCAACACTATTCTACACTCTAGTGTATGACTTTAACATGAATTAGCTTTTCAGTGTCTACAATAGTGCATTAAATTTGCAGAAGATATTGACTGCAATTGTACTTTAAAATGACATGTCAGAATCATTGTATAATGTATATACATTTACATTTTACAGCTTGTGCAATTTTAAAGTGACCTTGTAAACAGTCTGACATTTGAAAAGTGGCTAACAGAAATATTTTGACATTTTTAAATGGCAAGCCAAATTAATTTGATTCCATACATGACTAGCATTGACACTTATGGTATGTAATGTCTATATTTATTGTAACCCGACATTGGCTTGTGGATATATCAAACATCAAGAATTGCACTTTTAAACCTTTGTAATAAAATCTAACAGGTGGTCTGAAGGGATATCAGTATCATTTAGAAGTTTGTAACTATTTACATGTCTCTGTATACAACTAAATAATATTAAAAAATACTCTACATAACATACTCTGAAACTAGATAATGTTACAGATTAAGAAGGACCTTTCATGTCCTTGCCAAAATCCATCATTGTGTATTCCAACAAGCATGTTTGATACCCATTGAGCTTCTGTCATACTATATGCTGTATTTTGCCTATTTAGATAACTTAACTCATTTGGCCTTAGTATATTTTAGGCTTGATAGGCCTTTACCACTTCATGGACATTCAAAACATCACAAGGCGTTGTCTCTAAAGTACTTATTTATGTACATGTCTGTCAAAAATATAACTTGTGCCCTTGAATGTTGGTCAAGGTCAGTTATATTGATTGATTCATTCAACTTTGTAGCCATTTAACTTATAGAATGCATATTGCAAGTTAAATCAATGTTGCTGGGCTTTTTCAATATTCTGAAGTTTGTTTGATTTAAAAATTTTTGTTCAAATGCAGTATTTACTGTACAGTCTGACACTGGCCAAAATCTTTGTTCTCTGCATCTTCATCTTATTCCGTCTTCATGTTTGGCTTCTGATCAGTCCAAAAATGAACTGATATCTATGTAACAGTGTGTACGGTATGCATTTGTTTGTTAATAATGATATATAAGATTTTAATCTATACATGTCAAGGTCACAACCTGAGGTAGAAAGTAAGGTAGCAGATCAGATGATAAACTTATTGTGATCTGTATTAGAATGTAAATGATATATCATTAATTACGAGTTCTTTAATGTGACAAAAGAAGGTAAATCCACATATCTACATCATCTCTGTGTGGTACAACCTAGACAATGTACATCATAATAACGAACAAACCATATACATGTATACCAATTTGGATGAGAAGACAGAGGGCAAAGTTGATATCGTCAGTTTTGTCATACCATGTTATGTGTAATGCATTACAGTACTAGTACAATAATATGATGTGTATGGAAATGTTTTAAGATGCGTAAAGTCATTAACATAAATATATGTGTGTAAGAGTACACTGAACCTGTGTCATTTTCACGTCTGGTGATATATAGTAGACATAATTGTAGTTCATCATGATTATATACACATCAGTTCATCATACTAACTTCCATCATCGTCTTGTTCTTGCAGCCGTATGTGAAACACACGTAGGTGTATATATGTGTGAGATGTAAAGCATTTGTGTAGATCTGTATATATTTGTGCTACTATAATGAGCATTACTCATCACATTTTGTGAAAATAAAATAGAAAATATTATATGTTGATACATATTGTGCAATTTCAAGTTCCCTTCCAGTCATATTTATGTTAATAATTAGCATTAGAAATTTTGAGAACTGTAAAGTAGAATTTGGTAGTAACAATTGTTGGTAAGTACAGTGTGTATATTTTAATACATGTTATTATCTGTTGTTCCATGAGAATTGAAATCCATATAACTTTAATTGGTGCATTGTGAGTTCAGTATTGTATATGTTTTAGATTCACATTCAACTGAACACCTTTACTTTTCATCTTTCTAGTTTCTGAGCTAAAAAATCTTATATTTTAAGTTTCCAAAATATATATATTCTGGTCAGTATTATTGGCAAGAGTTATATTTTCCAAAACTCAACCCAGGATCCAAAGTTTTTGACAGGTAGTGAAAATAGTTCATTTTACAGATGCCACTATGTTAGTGAAGTTTACTAGCTCATGTTTTGATATTGTGTATGGTTTATTGTTTATAATGTGAACATTTCATTATAAATTAGTTAAAGAATATCTAAACAATTTACAAAATATCACAATAATATTTTTTTTGTCCTATCCTATTCCTATGATTGTATACCATGGAGATATCATTTTTTGAGTTGTGACTTTACTCTTTGCGAGAAATTTTTATGAACTAACTGTAATTCACAAGTTCAACAAAGTGTTTTTCAAACAATGATTAAATGAAAGTGATGTTTTCAGTAATTGTAAAATATTGATCTGTAACCATTGGTCGATACAATAGAATATTTTGTCAGTAGTAAGGATTTGACGCTGTTTTATGTACTTCTTGCTTTAATTTGAGTACATAATGTATTAGCATTCAGAAATGTACAGTATTTGCTTTGAATATCCAGTCACCTATATTTACAGTTACTGCTTATGTAAGTTCATTGTGAGGTAATGATGATTCAGGTGTTGGTGAAACAGTCCCAATTACAATGTGTTAAAAATATTTCAGGTGTTAATATTCCACCACAAGAAACTAAAAATACCTAAATTGCCTCAAAAGATGTTGAAAATTTATCGTCCAGTTTATAGTTGAACATCTGCTATATTAAGTCATTATAGTGAAAAGAGGAGTTTTGCTTCAAATTATCATTAATTAGAAAATAACTAGAGAGTAGGCTCAATTTTGTTAAAAAGGAAAATTCTTCAACGAGTGAAGTAAACCTGAAAGCAGACAAGATAAATCATATGTTATGTTAATAATATGAAAATGTGTCATAATAATATGTTAATTCTAACCTTGACAAGTTAAATATTTCTGTTCTCATGCCATTGAATTTGAAACAATTACAGCATTGCCACATTGTTCCAATTCGCTTATGAAAATGGGCACATATTGTAAAATTCAAGCTGTCCTGTTTTCCTTAGAATACAGGAGATATTTAATAGAGAATATTTGTATAAAGTTGTTTCTTGGTTTAAAAGTGATAAAACTGTCTCTTGTTTTTTACTCAAAAATTGTTTAAAACATTTTCATGTTCCTGAA